GTCACACTGAATGCAGTAAGGTTTATCATTATTAATAAAGTATTCTCTGTATTAGACACACACGCACACACCCCTATATATATATGTATGATGTAGAATAGTTTATTCATATGTATACATATATTAAAGCGCCCAAAGAGACTCTGAGCTGGAACTTCTGTACCCCAGGTGTTTTCCTTTCAAGATTGGAGTCAGCTTTTTCACCCGGATTCATCCATACCCAGCTCCCAAACAACAGACCCTGTTGTGCTACCTCTGTGGCTGATTTAAACCTTGGAATGATGCATTCCTTACTACAGAAACTTGGAGAGGATATTTTTCTGGCTGCTTTTTGTATTAAATTACTTACCAAGTCCTTACAGTAACTGTAGTTACCACAGTTGCAGTTGTCATAGTTGCTGTACCGTTACTGTAGATATATTTATCTGTGAACATTCCCCCTTGTGATGCCATCGCCACCAGTGTTGATGCGCTGTGCGTTTCCTCCTCCCGAGCTCTGAGCCAACACGCTGGTGTTGGTGGTACAGGAGGAAGGTGGTTGCATATGTAATGTCTAAAAGCAGATGCTTTTCTGCTTTGCTTTTTTCTTTCTGCTCTCTTCTTTTTCGCTGATGACCCTATTAGGTTTCTAAAGAAGCCCTGAGTGGCTGTAGAAATAACAGCCAGTGCTCATGAAGACCTTGAGAAGGAATCAAATGCAGATCAAGCAGGAGCAAAAATGAATCGTCACCTCGGGGGGATCAGAACAGAAGCTTGTGGTCACGAGCAGGACTTGGCCAGACCAAGGGAGCTATAGCTGTGAAAAATCTTCCCTGTCAAAATCGTAGGTGCAAAAAGGTTAGAGGTGAAAAGATAAAGGAACGCTCCATTTTGGATAGCATCTTGCATTCACAGGGTCATTTCACAGCCTCTCTGGGCTGAAATATTTCAGCTGTAGGACTTGATTTTCAACCAAGTGTCATACCATCATATATATATTTACATATATATGTGTGTATATATATTTCCATGGCCAATTGCAACTGCAACAAATAGTGGGCAAGGAGGGTAACATCTGCAGTGTTCATAATAACCCGCTGGGCTGGCAGAAGTGCTCCTGCAGAATTACCACGAAAGGCCATAGTAGAGAGAGGGGTAGGTGGAAAGGGAGGGA